AATTACAAAATAAAAGTAATTGTAATCAGTTACAGTTACTGAGAAAAAACATGTAATTAAATTACAGTTACTTATGAAAATGTTAAGGATTACAAAGGGGGTTACATCTGCTTTTTTTCACATACACTCCCACATACAGATTTAATCAGGGTGCGAACTACGGGGGAGCTAGGGGGAGCTCGGCTCCCCTTAATAAGACATGGGCTCCCCTGAAAACGGGATTTGTGAAATTTTGGGGGTCTCAAAAAATACTGACAATGTGTTATTTTGACGTGCAATTTCAGTTTTGTGTAATGTGATCATTGCGGATTATTATGTGTTAAATTGCAAAAATATTCATTCATGCAGGACGGCGATTTAAACCTAATTCACTTCAATAAAGATAACTATACATGCTATTCTTGTCATGAGCATCAAGGTGTGGGGGCGCTGTGGTGCAAATTCCACTCATGTTTAGTACATGAAGATTCGTAGAAAAAATATAAACGTTGGACTCTGGTCGATTCTGTGTTAAGGTAAGGCATGTTATTCGCAATTATGTGTTGTGGCTGGGTTGTTATAGGTCTGCGTGACTCTCGATGTCTTAGGCCTAATTGAACGGAGGAATTATGGTATTCTTCTGTAGCCTGACGACGAGTAACTTTAACCGTTGTTCATGTGAACTCAAAGACAGCCTGATGCTTTGTATATAGACTATTTGTGGGTGGCTGTTTGTTGTTTCACCTATCAATTCGTGTCGATAAAGTATAATAGGGTAATCCTGTATAGTGATTTATTCTATATAGCGCTTGCATAAAGCAAGTAGTGCATACATTTGTAGCTGTTAAATTAAATTAAATTAAATTAATGCATTTAGTGGACGCTTTTATCCAAAGCGACTTACAGTGCATTCAGGCTATACATTTTTTATTAGTATGTGTGTTCCCTGGAAATTGAACCCACGACCTTTGCGCTGCTAACGCAATGCTCTACCACTGAGCCACAGGAACATTCATACAAGCTGTTATGTATGTTTGTAAGTCATTGTGAGCCTTCATTCAGAGAGATATCTGTGAATATATCACTGATATATTCACAAACCCCCCCCCCCCACTG